AAACTATTATTAATTCATAATTTTCATATTAGATTCAGATTTACGCGAATTTCTAAAAATAAAATAATTAATTCATATTCTTTTGGGTATCTCAAACATATTTATAACATGAAGCCAAAAATAAATTGTAAATTTTTTTAAAGAACTTTGTAAAATCTACAATTAAAAGAAATCAAATCAGAGAGTACAAAATTTGACCATTTATATCTCGAAGTGAATAATAGCAATTTCTGAAATATTTTTGTTTAAATCTACATGATGAAATTATTGTATAATTAATTAGTAATATTAAATTTAAGCATTGAATATGAAGATATATATATAAATTGTAATTATTGTTAATTAATAAATAGGTTTGACGTCATCATCTCATTATTATTATTAATCAACAAAATAATTGCCATCTTATTTTTCTATGGAATGCAAATGTGATAGTATAAATTATACAAATAATGTGATTCTGATTGGGCTAACAATCAAGAAGGAACAAATGCAAATACAATTCGGAGCAGGATGTTTAATTTTATTTACCTCCATGATGTTACATACTTATGGTGTAGTAACAGATGGTACAAAAAACTCCAAAACAAAGAAAGAATGGAGGGTATTCTTCTGATGATCTTTTTTTAAGGCCAAGAGTTGAGCGAACCATTAATATTAAGTCATCCTAATTCAGAAGATCATCTCTTTTCAATATATTATCTTTACTTTTTGATTTCGCTTACCCAAGTCTTATAATCAATAAGAAAATAATAAGATTTTAAAGAATATATTTAAAATTTAGAATTTCTCTAACATCATCAATTGGTTATAGATTGATTATATGAATTACTATTTAGTGCATTTTTGTGAGATTTCTCTGTTTATAACTATAAAGAATAATAGTTTTAATTAGAACTGCTAATCCAATATGCAATTATTAAAAATATCAATTCCTGATCAAGATTTTGTTCAAACATATTCCTATCTCTTAATATTGAGATAAAAATTCACAAAAGCTTAATGCCTATATTTATGATAAACAAGAAAAATGAGTAATCGATTATAGAAATCAAATTAAATTATATAATTAACATTATTTATATAAAAATTAGTTATTCTATATTCTTAAAGAATCAAGCAATGTGCCTCTAGAATTGAATTCTGCATAGCATTTTTTACCTCCAATACAATAGTATTGGCTTCTAATTTTAAAAAATATAGAAGATATATTTTTTTATTGGTAGTATAAAACTTAAATTAAGGATAATAGACATTCAATATTAAAAAAAGAAAAGAAATTGAATAGATCAACAAGTAGATCTAACTTAGAATTTTTTCAGGTTAAGGGATGGAGATGATGATGTTTTAATCGAAATTTTGATAGGAGAAAACTTAAGACAATATAGGATACCTTTCATAGAACGGAAATTAAAAACATCACTAATACTATATTTCTTAGTTGAAATACCCTCCTTAATTTGTTGTAGAAGTTAGAGTTGCAACTAATAACATGAAACAAATTACTGATGTCTTATAGCAGATCATGATTTCAATAACAAAGACTATTCCTCTGAAGAAAATTAAAAATCTATAAATGATCTAATAGAAACCATAAAGGATGATAGATAGATCATAGAACTTTTGTAATTTTTAGTCTACCCCACATCCATAAATAACTCTTTAATTTAATGTGGGTCAAATTCATTACATTTATTAGTTTAGATGAAGGGGAATCTGAGAAACAAAAATTTTTAAAATATTAAGATCCAAAATACTTCTTTGGTCGGAACTAATTTTTCTTATATGAGCTGAAGTGGATCAGAATTTGATAATGAGATTA